GCCACATCTNGTGGGCCACACGCACTGCTGAAAATTAGAGGGCTGGTTCCAGTTCAAAGCCTTTGGCTGGACTGAGCTCCCAGGCAGAAGTTCTCCATCTGCACTCTATTAGCCTCCTGATCGCATTTTGTTATTCTCTTTGCACCAGAGAAAACAAACAGATGTCTCTCCCACAGTCTGCCTTCCCCCCAGTGTCAAAGAGGTTCTCTCCCAGGTGACCCCCTGTGACCCCATGGAGTTCCTTCCTCTGCAGTGGCCCTACCCTCCGGGTTGTCCAGTCTCACTGTCGCCCTCCCATTTCTGGCTGTTTCTTTCTGATAAACCACCCCATCCCCTGACCCCCTCTCATGTTCTGGTGATGATCTGCCAAGGTCCTAGATCTAGTACTTCACACAGGGCGCTAGTGCCAACAATTCCCATATGTTTGCTCTGCTACAGCTTCCGTGACCTTCAGGGTGGGACACTTTCAGTACTAGGGAGCAGGTCTCAGGCGTGACTTGGGGATTTGGCTTTCCTCCCCATAATCTGTATCAGATCTCTTCTAAGCCATTCCTAGGAAAACTACGATCTTAGTGGAAACAGTGTGCTTACAGGGTAAACACAGCTCCCCTTTCAACCAGACCACCATCCTTAAGCTCCTGAGTATAAAATTTGGAATTGCCACAGAGCAACTGTCTAGAATGTTGTTTAGCTTTCAACATTTGGCGCTCCTGGAGGAACTTCTTCCAAGTCTCTGGAGTTGCCTGGAGGAGGCAAGCTAATTTAGCACATCACCAGGGGAGCCACTTCTAGCTGCTTTTCAACTCCCTTTTGCTGTGTCAAAGCCTGACCTAGACCCACTGATTCCCGTGCTGTCCGATATGGTAGCACCAGCCACATGTGGCTATTTGAAATGTGGCCAGTCTGAACTGAGATATGCTGTAAGCATAAACTACATACTGCGTTTTGAAGACTTAGCACCAAAAAAATGAAAGATATCTCATTAACAACTTCATATTGATTACAAACTGAAATGGTACTATTTTAGATATATTGGGTTAAATAAAATATATTCTTACCAGTAAATTTACTTATCTCTTACTTCTTAAAATGTGCTACTAGAAAATGTAAAATCACAGATGTCACCTACATTATATTTCTATTGGACAGTGCTGGACTAGACCTCCGCTCAGGGTGAGGCCTTAAATATGTCTTCATACGCCCTCCGAAGGCTTGCAGTAGACCCTAAATGCTTTCTCTTTCTCTCCCCTGGCAATGCCAATAACCCCAAATTCCTATCCACATTGTCCCTAGATGGCCATGGGACAAGTATGTAAATTGAGTCTCTGGGGCAACCACAGATACTGAGTCCTGGAAGTGACTGAGATGACAGAGCTTTCTATTTTCCCTTCTCATACTTCTCGTGAAGAATAAAACATGACTGGATTCCTCATCATTTAAAGCCCCACATCAACACGTATCCACAGGCAATACACCATCCCAACAAACGGCAGTACTGAAAAAGGAAGCCCAGTGGGCCACTACTCAATCACCACTGAGAACCTGGCCCTCCCGTTGTATGACCATAAGCTATTGCACTGTCATCAAGCCTGGAAGAATTGATGCTGCATTTTGGCTAATGCATGGTGACTGGGTATTAACAAATTCATTCATTTGGATCGTGTTTTCAAGTCCAGCATCAATGAAAATATGGTTTGTTTCAACTGAGGTGACTCTTAGCTCACTGTGCTCATTACCCCTTATTAATTTGAGAGAATATGCTTGAGTTTCTCATTTATAAAATATATGTGTTACAGAAAAACAACTCTCAGGAAGGCATGGGATTTGCCTTGCTAATAATTGATTATTTTTCATATGAGAAATTAAATGAGAACCTAAATGATGAATTGAGTATGTTCATGGGCCTATAGTTATGGCTTTAATCTACGGTTAGCTCCAGACCTGCGTGATTGCTCAGGACTTTGCAGGGACTGGGGCCTTTGGAAGCCCTCACCTCCCTTTCTGGAAATTGAAGGACTGTAAATGACCAGCAACTCTGGGCTGCGAATGGCTTTCTTACCTTCTCGGCTCTATTTTGATTTACACCCATGTCATTGTCCAGAACATGATTTCACCAAAAAGAACACCAACCCTCCAAATAAATGAAAAGAGCAGCTGTGACCTTTCATTTCTGTTTAAATCATAAGGAATCTCCTAAGGATGAGATGAATCTAATTTCAGGCCAATTCAGTCTTGATGCAGCTGAGAAAAATGCAAACTGGCGGGCGCTCACCTGAGGGTAGTGACTTGTGAATTTACAGCAGCTGAGGTTGAATCCTGCCGGCTGATATTAGCATTAGTTTATCTGGCCTTTCATTGGCTGAGAATGGAAACTGGACTGTGCACTTTAAAATTAGATATATTTAGGTGTCTTCCAAGCTGAAGCTCTATAACCTATGTCCTTTACATTGTGTGGGAAGCAAAATTTCTAGGAATTGTCCCCAAGGGCTCTAGCCCCCAATCCCCACAACCTATGAATGTGCTGAGACCTCACTTCTTTGATTGTTATGCCTGTGGCACAGCAGACCTTCCAAAGGGGAGATTATCCAGGTGGGCCCAATCTATTCAAGCGAGTCTTGAAAGCTAGAGAACTTTCTCTCTCTGGTGGCAGAAGAGTATGCAGAAGTTGACATGTGGGAGATCCTGAGCATAAGGATTGAATGATAGAGGAGTGTAGGTGGCATCTTGAAGTTTAGAGTGGCCCAGCTGACAGCCAGCAAGAAACTGGGGACCTCAGCCACAAGGAATTGGATTTTGTCAACAACCTGAAGGATCAGGGAAGCAGGTAAGAGCCCAACCGGTTGGCAGCTTCATTTTGGCCTTGTGAGATCCTAAGCAGAGAACCCAGATGGGCCCATGTAGATTCTGAGCTACTGAACTGTGAGATAAAAAAATGGATGTTGATTTTAGCTGCTAAATTCATAGTATGGAATTTATTATGCAGGAATAGAAAACAAATACACCTTGATAATTTGTTGGATTCCATAGCTTTTGTTGTTGTTGTAGTTCATAATCCACTGAGTTTGCAAAGCTGTGTGGCCTCAGGTGAATTACTTGCCCTTCTTGAACCTATAAAACCTGCCTCGCTGAGTTTTCATAAAGATTAAATGGGATACACTTAAATGTTTACTGCAGACCCTGGCTCTCAGCAGGATCTCAATCAAGCTCCCACTCTGCATGTGTATTTATATAGTCCCCAATATCCCCCTCAGTACGGAACTTCCTGCATCTTGTACAGTGGTGGGGACATTGTAGGCGCTCAATACATGCGCACTGAATTGACTGTATACACAAACAGTACTCATCAGATTGTCAATTCATCAATTATTTGTGTTGGTACATGAACATATTAAAAAGATGTATACAAAGTAGTCTTTGTTCTCAAGCTTCCCCAGAGAGTGTAGGAGACAATTATGTAAACAAAGAATTGCAATACAATGCCATTCATGCTAGTACAGCGGTACCTCGGTCTTCTAACGTGATCCGTTCCCGAAGGCCGTTCAGGTTCTGAAACGCTGGAAAACCGAGCGATCCACAGCGCCAGCTGGGCCTCAGGATCCTGCCCTCAGCGGAAGCCGCGGGGCATGTTCCACTTCCGGGGCATGTCGGGAAACCTGAAGCATCTACTTCCGGGCTTACGGCGTTTGTAAACCGAAAAGTTCGTCAACGGAGACGTTCGAAAACCGAGGTACCACTGTAGATCTCAAACAGCCCCTTTCCGCTGGCCTGAAAGGAGTGATTTCTCCAGTGGCTGTGGGGGTGAAAGCATGCCAGGCAGACCAGGGGCTGGAGGGGGGCTGCTTTGGGTGGAGCAGAGCCCCCGAGTGAGGTCGGATGGAAGGTGGAACTCACACACTAGGCACACACTGCATTTCATGTCCACAGGTTTGAGCTTCATGCTTCTGGCTCTGAGGAGCTCCCAGAGGTGATTCTGGCTGTAGAGTAACCTGATCAGATTTGTTTACTGGAAACACTAGTGTGGGATGGAGGGACTGCATGGCACGGAGTGCAGAAGAGACGGGCAGAACCGAAAGAGGTGCTAATGTAGTAATAATCCTTAACTTTCAAAAATACACAAAAGTCTACTGAAGCCCTTTATTCTTAGTAACGTCCTGACATTCTAACACTTAGTTTAATACGCTTTATAAAAGGAATCTGTCTGTCCCGGTGGACAGCAAAGCAGGCCCTCCTGTATGGTGACGCAGGGTGTGAGCCAGTCAATGCTTGAGCTGGTCAGCACCAGAGGGGTGGAAGCAGAGAGGGCAGGGGCCTGAGTCCCAAAGATTCTCTGGATTTTAGCAGAAACTGAAAGCTGGAACAGGGTGTGGGAGTGGATTCCTTTCTAGCTGGGAAACTTCCAGGTGCCTGAGACACTCAGTTCTGATTCAACACTCGGAACTCCTTTCCTCATAGAAACAATGTTATAAACAACAGTTAGGTTAAAGGCTGGCTTCTTTAATGACCAGTGGGCAGTGCCTGAAATCCAGTCCATTTGTAACTTTATTATTTTGTCTCCTGGATATTTCACTAAAAACCAGACTTTTGGAACATGACCTGTTTGTAGAGTGGAGATTATCTATGGTTAACAGTGTATAATGTATAACGATGCTAGTTCATCAGATATAAATGCAGGATGTCTTGAGAATTCCATCTCTGTTGCTGCAAAGGACTAGGCCAGAAGATATCACCCAGAACACTGGCCTGGAGGTATTTCTATTTAAAATTAATCACAGTTTTAAAAAATTAGGATAGAACTTTATTTGTGGCATCAAGATTTTTAAAAATGATTTTGTACTTTATTTAATAAATTTTGATACATTAATTTGATAAAGGTTTACCATATCAGGTTTTTTAAAACAAGGTCAAATGGCTTAGAATCAGAACGAAGTGTGTTTAACTTAATAATTATATGGAACAATTTTAGTATTATAAATAAAAAATGAAAACAAATACCACTTAAATTTCAGTTAGGATGAAATACATCTGTAATACAATTTTATGTCTATGTTAAAGTTTGTCTGATTACAGAGAAAATATAGGCTACAATTATGTACTTATCATTTCTAGAAAAATATGATGTTCTTGCTTTAAGAAAATGACATTACTTCCTCTCCCTCCATAGAATGCATGTGAGATATTTTCTGTCTGGGGTGAGAGGCTGTGTTGCTTGATACAGGTTTCTTCCAGACTGACAGCCCACAGCTGGGAGACAGAGGGGACGATGGTCTGTGGCTGGGGGCTGGTGGGAGTGAGCCTGGTCTCATTGAAACCTGATTTATCTGAGTCACAGGGTCATCCAAATGAATATCAGTCAGATGAAAAGCAAGCTTTATATTTTCTCAAGCTCTGATATCTGCTCTGGTATTTTACAGAAGTGATATTTAAACAATCGTGATAAAATCCTGTGTTGACAAAAATAGTTTTCACATTCAGTTCTACGTAACGAGAACATTCCAAAATGTATTGGCCATGCTAATGACTTTGCTAATGTGGAGAAAATAGATTCTGATAAGATCCATGTACAGTCAAACATATGTATACATATATGTGTGTATGTATTCAGTATCAGAGCGGTACCTACTTCCTTGTCTATTAGCAGTTTATTTTTAAATAAAGAGATTCTTCTTTGGGAGCAGTTAGTGTCAACGCTTGATTTGATGAAATCTGATGGTCGGCACAAAGCATCTTCTGATTGTAAAATACTTCATAAAAAAACCTCTCTGGAACAACAATCTTACGTGACAGTGAGACTGGGCACGATGATTCTCATTGGACAGATTACAAAATAGGAGCCCAGAGAGGTCAAATAAGTTGCTTCAGTTTAAACAGCAGGTAAGTGATAAAATTAGGACTGCACCTGCTGGTCTTGCCTGAACACTGGTTAGCACGAGTAGACATAAAACACAGGGTGCATGGATCTATGAGTTCCTTCCTCTACACTGAGCTGTTTGGAAAGTGGTTTTGCTACGGTCACATCTCAGATCTCTACCAGGTGCTGGCAGGTACCCATTTCCTTATATACCCACCAACTTAAACCAACAGCCAGAAGCACTTTTTGCAACACTTGGGGTATATATACATATATGTATTTAAGAGGCTTCATAACACTTATATGATATTTACAATTATTCCTGGATCCCCAAGACACCATATTGAGAAACAGGTTTAACTTTCTGCAAGAGCGTTTTCTATATAATCATTCCAAGACAGGTAGGAAACACATACAGTCTTGGCACACTATTTGGCAGGTACACTGAAACACTTTCCCTTTTGCCTTATTCTGCTCACTCCTACTTTGATTGTTGAAAAAGTCACTTACACACCTGTGAGTTCCTTGGGGATGAGGACTGGGCCAGGTTTCTTGGAAGCTGACAACTCTCTCCCCAGGGCCTAGCACAGTGCTATGTGCATAGCAGGCAAAATTTAATAAATGTTTGTTGAATGTACATGGTTTTCATGTACTTCAGTGTGATTAAGGTAGGATTCTATCTGTAACATTTTGCTAAAGAGTTTTGGAGTAATAGTAAAACGTCATCATTTTCATAGTAAACAGTATTTTTTTAAAAGCATAAGAAATGCAGTAATAAATTTAATACAATTTATGCATTATAACTATTCTTTGGTTATTTTTAACAAATTATTTGGTTTTTTTTACTAAAGTGACATACTAAAAATATAAAAAGGCGACTACAGAAATCAGCTTAATGTGTAAACATAATAAACCCTGTAAACATAGAGTTACTACATAATTGTGCAAGTGTAAAGAATGTCTAGTCAAGGCAAGTACTATACATTTAAACTTAGTTCTTCGAGGCACACTTAGAAATACTGCTTTGTGGAGCTCTAGCTTAACATCGGAAGGAGGAATTCTTTGAACTAACCTACCACACGAGAGAGCGGTGACTATACCGATAAACCATAAGGATACGTAGGCAAGAAGGACGGCGCTAATACTTCTCACCCTTTGCAAATCTGAGTTTGCGTCACATGTCCTCTACACCACTTTGTTCAGTAAAACCACATATTAACAAAAACCAAATACTTTTAAAATGAAGTAAACAAGTTTTGTTGTTGTTGTTCTGCCAGTGAGTCAGCTGACTGAAAATACAGCTAACACACTTTCCAAGGTTGTTCCAAAACTCTGGGCAATAAGGTGCATCGGGCAGGTCTACGAGGTAATAAATAGCTGTAGGCAGCGCTAAATATGGTGTAGTTGACTCAATGTTAAAGTATCCTTTTCCAGATTTCAGTTTTCCTTCTCAAAAAGCATCAAACTTTTCACACATGACACTTACCACAAATATTTCACAGTTATAAATTCAGTAGTTTAAGAAAGGACTGCCTGGCACATACTGGAAAAGAGGTAAATGTTAAAGACACAACTCGCTATTTCAGGCACGAAGGACTTAGGTCCGGGAGTGTGAACTCTAAAGACAGAAGGAAACAACTGTGTAAATGCAACACATCATTTTAAAGTGGATGAAATACTGGTAAAGTCGTCGCACTATTTCTTCTAATGCTTTTATATGATTTTCTCCACTATATGGGAAGAATCAACGGCTAAGTTTTAGTAGTTCCCTGGAAAATTTTAAGTCAAGATGTTGCTTATAAAAATGTGTCAGTAAAACACCGTAGATTTTTTACTTATAATCTAATCGACTCCATCGAAACCCTGAGTGTTCTCAATTGCCACCTGAAGTTTATCCCATAATTCTTCAAATGATTCATAGGGCGGCAAGTCCAAGCGATTGAAGCTGAAAAACAGAGAGCAACTGGTTATGAGAGACTTCGAGAAACTGAGCATCCCCATGGCGGACTCAGTAAGGCAGCTCTTCGTGAAGATGGGTCCCAGCAGCACTAAAGGCCAGGTAATCGCCACGGGAGAAGGAAGATAGAGGTCAGCACTCTGGGCATGGACTCTCCCCATGACTTCTTGGTAAACTCCCCTTGTCCCCACCTCCAAATGTCTGGGTCCCTCTGTCACTTTAACCGCAAACAGGCAATATTCTAGCCTTCTTGGCATGGCCCGCTATTCATGCGATGGAGACAACATGTGGTCAACTGCTGAGGTTGGCATCTCCGATGTGCAACTACCTGGACTTCAAGCTCCAACCTACCTTGGGTTGGTGCTCCTGCCTCCTCCCCCTCCTCCTCCCCTCCCTCCCCTCCCCACAGCTGTCACTGACATGGCACAGAGGGGACTGGGCCGTCTGTGCCAAAAGAACTTCGCTCTCTGAGACCCGGTTCTCTCAGGGTCTAAGAGCCTGCTTACCATGTATGGGCTCGCGGCAGCTTTTCAGGGGTACCCCACTGCTCAACTGTAAAAGACTGTGGTCCATTCGAGCCTGTGAGGAAGAAGAGTTGCTTTGGCTTCATTTACTCTCTATGGGAAACCCTAGGCATGTCACAACTCACTTTTTCTATAGTAAGACCTAAACATGCAGAGAACTAATCTAGTTTCTTCAAACTCCTGCGCTTGATGCTTTATTGTCCAGCCATGAAGTGAGGATTCCTCCTCCGCCTAGTCACGCTGCCCATGGGGTGGGATGTCCCAAGGTGCTCTTGCTGTTCCCTAGCCCTGCACTTCTGTCCACCACCTCCTTCACAGGTACACAGAGAAAATGAGCATTTTTCTCTTTTATGTGTCCCACTTAAAAGAGCTTTAACTTTTCTGATGATAAAATCTTACCGTAAAAAATTAAAGCAATCAAGAAAAATAAAGGCTGTAAAAATCACCTCAAATTCGACTATTAAATCTGAGTAAACATCCCATCATGAATCTTTTGTGCATGAGCATATATAACTTTATGTGTATGTGTATTGTATGTTATACATGCTACATTTTTCTTCTATTATGGACATTTCTAGAAACTCTTTTTTCCTTTGGTAATTCCACTTAGCTCTTCCTCCTCTGATTCTCAAACTCCTCCAACCACCTAGCTAATCAATGCCGACATGTAACCTTCTGTACTTTTCTCTGTGTCCTATGTTCTCAGAAAGCATTACTTTCCACACATTACCCATCACAGTTATGTTCACAGTTAACGCTTCAGTACTTCTGTTTTCTATAACATGGAGTCGTATCTGTTTCCCTGCCTCTTGATTCTCTCACCTAAACAATCCACTGGGAAGACTCCCTCTAAGTCTACTGATAAAACTTAACATACTTTTAACTGGCTAGATAATATTGCATTGTAATATTAATATTGTGAAGCAATGTTATCTTTGTAAATACAAAAGAATTTGAATTTAACTTTGTTTAAAAATTAACGCAAAATCAATCAAAGACCTAAATGTAAGGCCCGAAACAATAAGTTATATAGAAGAAAACATAGGTACCAAATTTATGGACCTTCCTTGGTCATAGAGAACACTTTATGAACTTCCCAAAGGCAAGGGAAGTAAAGACACAAATAAATGTTTGGGACTGTATCAAACTAAAAAGCTGCCCAGCAAAAGAAAACTTCCAACAAAACAAAGAAGCAGCCAACCAGATGGGAGATGATATTTGCAAACAGTAGCTCTGACAAAGGTTTCCAAAATATATAAAGAACTCATAAAACTCAACACCAAACAAACAACCCAATCAAAAAGTGGGCAGAAGACCTGAACAGACACCTTTCCCAAGAAGACATACAAACAGCCAACAGATATATGAAAAGATGTTTGACCTCACTAGCAGTTAGGGAAATGCAAATCAAAACTATAATGAGACAGCACCTCACACCTGTTAGAGCGGCTATCATCAACAAGACAGACACTAAGTGTTGGAGAGGTTGTGGAGAAAACAGAAGCTTCATTCACTGCTGGTAGGAATGTAGGCTACTGGTACGACCACTATGGGAAGCGTCGGGAGATTCCTCAAAAAATTAAGAATAGAGCTACCATATGACCCAGCAATCCCTCTCCTGGGTATCTACCTGAAATACTCAAAAACATGTATTCACAAAGATATCTGCACCCCTATGTTCACTGCAGCATTATTCATGGTGGCCAAGACATGGAGACAACCAAAGTGTCCTGAGATAGAGGACTGGATAAAGAAGACATGGGACATGGACACAATGGAATACGACTCAGCCATAAGAAGAGATGAAATACTGCCATTTGCAACAACATGGGTGGACCTTGAGAATACTATGTTAAGCGAAATAAGTCAGTCAGAAAAAGCTAAGAGCCATAAGATTTCACTCATATGTGAAATATAAATCTGAAACTCGTGGACACAAACAGCAGTGTGGTGGGTGCCGGGGGGAAGAGGGTGGGGGAGTGGCGNATCTAGTGGCTGTTCGTATGTGGTAGAGGACTGGATACAGAGGATGTGGTGCATGGACACAATGGAGCACTACTCAGCCATGAGAAAGGGTGAAACACTGCCACTCAGAACAACATGGATGCACCTTGAGACTATCATGCTAAGTGAAATAAGTCAGGCAGAAAAAACGAAGAACCATATGATTTCACTCACATGTGGGATATAAAACTGCAACTCATGGACACAGACAGCAGTGTGGTGGTTGCCAGAGGGAAGGGGATGGGGGCTGAAGGGGTCTTACTATATGGTGATGGGAGAAGATATGACTTTGGGTGGTGGGCACACAGTGCAATATACAGATCTTGTAACATAGAAACCCACACCTGAAACCTATATGTTCATATTAACCACTGTCACCCCAACAAATTTAATAAAGTGTTTAAAAAAAACTTTTAGTCCAGTATTTCCAATATGTATTCTACTACGAAACTCTTTGTGTTTTGTTGTATACTACAGGCAATGCCTTTTCTGTACTGGAACAAGAAATTTAAAACTTAAGGAGGGACAGTAACTCAAGTCATTTCCCATTTCCAATTTTCTCCTTTGCTATATGATTAGAAGGCGTACATACATTTTGGCCTCCTTCAGGGTATCTAATTACGTCATTAAAAATCGTTTTTATTAAGCTGAATGTCTGTATAAATGATAGAGGCTTGAAGACTAATCAGCCATGAAAAGACAGTTGGCGCTGCTCCATTTTTAAGTGCCGCACGGGAAATCCTTACCATACAGTTCAGCAAATCCGTTCATGGGCACTCGCGACGTGCCCGTTACAAACTGCAGTAACCTTATTCTCTTCTCTGAGTCCATCATTAAAACAGCCTGAGCGAGAGAAAAACAGCGCTTAGGACTATCATGGGGAAAAGGTACCAAAATGATCCTGAAAAATATGATGTCCGAATTCAATGAGCATTAATGATCACTGACATATACCCTAATAAAGTGACAAAAATGTCTTCTCAGATATGGGTCATGTTTGTTTGTTTTTTAATTACATTTATTGATATTATTGAGCGGTATACACACTTCCCTGTAAGACTGAACATCACACTTAAAGGAGCCACGTAGGAGTCCTAGACAATACAGTGCAGTTTATTACAAATTCTCTTGAAGAATTCCTACTTCAGTAAGACACTAAGTGCCTGTTTTAGCTGTCACTGCCACCTGCTACATTCTGAACATTTTACTTACTTATGTATAAATATGGATGGAGGCTGGGACCAGAAGGTAGATGTATACAGTACAAAATCAACTATAATCTTTGCTGGACTATATTCTGTATTCTCTATGAGAAGTTAACTAATATAGTTAAATATGATTGAACCTACTGAAAGTAATTTATGACAACAGAAGCTTTCGATTACCTTCCAAAACCACTGGATGACCTGATGGTTGGCGCTGTAGCCGTTTTTGTACTTGGTGTGTTCTCTCCAGTCGTTCACGTCGACATCTCCCAATCCACACATAAGAAGCTACGTAATCAGAAATGTCAAACTGCAGACAAGAAAAATAACCAGTACAAAAGTCCCATTTTAAAACAAAAATAGTATTTCTTACCTCTAGTTCATTTTCATCAAAAATCTTGATGAGATCCTGTGGTATCAGTTCAAAAAATCCCTAGAAGAAAGAATGTATTTAAAAACCTGGTTAGCAGGGTCAATGGACAATTCTCTACTTCAGCTCCTGGGTGCAACTGGAGAAATCGCACATCCACATAGGTTCTACCATTACACATTCATGGGCTCTGAACGCGACTGAGATTTCAATATTGGCAAGAAAATATGTGTCCCTAGTCTGTTCTCTCATTGAATCCTCAAAGCGGCAATTTTAAAGCTTCCCCAAACTCCTCAAGCCTCCTTCTCCTCCATGTCACCCCGTCTTTACAGGAGATAATTTCTATTTGAAAGAGAAAACAGAGTCAATTATGCAGGACGAAATTCACTCAACCTTCCACATCCCCATGTACCAACCAGCACCTACACCTACCACAGCCTCCTCCCACCGCAGTGGGGAGGTCCCTCTCCCTCTGTGCTTCTCCTGCTTCCTCAAGGTCATCTCTCTAAACCTCCTTCTCTTTATTAGCTCACTCTTTATGCATTTAAATCCATTCCAGAAATATAAGAGCAAACATCCCTTCTTCTCTTCACAGCCCAGGTCTCGACAGTGTTATATGTCACCGAATCTACTTGTTCACCTGTCTATCCCTCAACCCACTGCAGTCTGACCCCCAGGACACCGCTTCCCTGAAGCTGTCCTGGAAAAAAGTCAAAAGCAACTTTGCAGCTAAATCTAATAAACACGTTCTAGTTCCATGTCTTATTTGCCTTCTCTGCAGTATATCGTTGAAAACACCTTTGTTCTTGAAACTCTGTCTGCTGTTGATGGCTTTACCCTATGTCTCTGTCTACCTTTGCTAATTTCCTATATTCACTGTCCATCCTTTAAATGTTGGTGTTCCCAGGTCTCCACGTGTGGTCATCCACTTTCACCTTCCTGTTCTTTCAAATTTTCCATCTTATCTGGTCCACAGCTCAGCTACACTTTGACAGACCATTCCCAAGTCCATACTGCCACCTCAAGTATCTATCCTTTAGTCACCCTAGGCTGTGGATCTCCCCTCCCGAATACCATTCGAATGCACCATCTTGCTTCCTAATCCATTCTTCACCTGGATTACGGGAGCTCTTTCCCAGCTAGCCCTCCCCTCCTCTGACTCACTGCATATCACTTCCAGAATGATCTGACTGAAGTGTACATTGCATCTTAATGCCGCCTTCCTTCCCCTCACTGGACTTCAGAGAAAACTAACAAACAGGCCCTTCATAATCTGGATTTTTGGCCAGCTCCCCAGGCTCAGCTTTACCTTTCGCATCCTGTTTTCCAGTATAGGAACTGCTTGTATGCTCTCTACTGTGTGCACAGTCTGTCGCACGGCCAGACTTCACGGGTGCTGCTCCCTCTGCTCAGAACTGCATTTCCCCCCCTCTGTGGCTGGCCGGTCAGTCCCTCTATCCTTCCCTGCCCCTCCTCTACCTCTCCCCACCCTGGTTCCGTCGTCTCTCTGGGGTTCCCTAGCATGTCAGCCTTGCCTCTGTCCATTTCACATTTTAGATTCTTGGCTCCCCGATAGCACGACCTATGTCTTTTTGCCTGATTATAGCACCAAACACACAGTCAGTGCTCAATACTGAATAAATAAGAAAGTATGTGATAAATATTTAACAAGATTTTAAGACAGCTTAAGAAATGAGTGCCCTGATAATAGCCTAAATGCCCATCAGTTAGGAGAAGCTTAAATAACTTAAGAATTTATATTATGAATAAAAAATGCAGCCACAAAAGAAAGGTAGCTATATACCTTTTTTTTTTTTTTTTTTTTTTTTGAGAGGGG